ATTTGTCTAGAATGGACAAAATATATATTTTTTGAATATTTAGAAATACAGTTGGACAGATACTGGTTTACAAAACTCATAAGACTAACTTTTAATAAAATGGGTTGTTAAGACAAAATTAGATTTCATAAAAGTTTTGAGACAATATGTAAAGGAGGAAAATGTGAAATATTCAAAAAGATGTACACTTATGAAATCAAAACTATATCAGACTTTTTGATCCCTAAACTGGACAACACTGTCACCTTGTGGCAAAGGTTGAATACAGCGTGGTTTCTTTTAAAAACGATTTTCCCTGATGGCATTTGTACAGTGCATTTTGGAGTGGCTACAGCCTCCAACATGTGCTAATAAAAAAACTGTGAGCAAGGATATATATTCCTATGCGTGTCCCCTTAGAATAACAACTGCAAATGTTCAAATCCAATATTCGTTAAAACAAAACATGAAACAAAGCAGTCTTCAACTGATATAAATTTTCATGAATCAGAAGTAAAAGAGGGCCCGGCGCGGTGGCGCAAGTGGTTAAAGGTCCTCGCCTTGCACGCCCGGGATCCCATATGGGCGCCGGTTCTAATCCCGGCAGCCCCGCTTCCCTTCCAGCTCCCTGCCTGTGGCCCGGGAAAGCAGTCCAGGACGGCCCAAAGCTTTGGGACCCTGCACCCGCGTGGGAGACCCGGAAGAGGCTCCTGGCTTCGGATTGGCATAGCATCGGCCCGTTGCGCTCACTTGGGGAGTGAATCATCGGACGGAAGATCTTCCTCTCTGTCTCTCCTCTCTGTATATCCGCCTTTCCAATGAAAAAAGTAAAAGAAACTCATTAGCTAGTTGTAGATCACCAAACTGAATTTTCCAATTATATCCCTTACTTAATATATCAACCCTTCCAGTATTAAAGTAAAAAACCTAATCAAACCAAAACAAAAAGCGCCACAATAAAGATGAAAATTTTGGTTCCGGCGCGATAGCTAGCGGCTAAAGTTCTTACCTTGAACATGCCAGGATCTACATGGTCATCGGTTCTAATCTCAGCAGCTCCACTTTCCCATTCAGCTCCCTGCTTGTGCCCTAGGAAAGTAGTCGAGGACAGCCCAAAGCTTTGCGACCTGTACCCAAGTGGGAGACCTGGAAGAGGCTCTGGGCCCCTGGCTTCTGATTGGCTCAGCTTCAGCCATTGCGCTCACTTGGGGAGTGAACCATTGGACAGAAGATCTTCTCTGTTTCTCCTCCTCTCTGTATATCTGATTTTTCAATAAAAAATAAAATATTTTGAAAAAAATGAAAATTTTATAATTTTTGTAAATCAAATGAAATTATTTCATCTCTTTCCTGATGTTTCAAAAAAAGAGCAAATAACTGAGTTTTCTTCATTTTATTTGAAAATTCAGTAGTGTGACCTATGTCCAGTTACTTAACCTTTCTGAATGTCAGTTTCTTCACCTGTGAAATATATTACTGCAAGAATTCTATGAGTTGATACAGTGCTCCTTAGAACAATGCTCAGCATGACAGGAAGCATAAATTATTAAAATAAAATTTAGCTCTTATTTTTATTAGAAGGTGGATCAATATAAACAATGAATCTCCCTCCAATCTTTATTAGGCTTGGTAGAGTTTTGCGATGTGATCTGAGTTGCCTATCCAACTAAGACAACGGGCTCCCCAGGCCCCCTTAATATTTGGCATCAGTGCCATGATGATTGGGCTGTATAGTTTTATTTGAACCTTTTCATTCATGAAATGGGCTTTGAAATTTGTCTTCAGGCCCAGTGTGGTGGCCTAGGACTAAAGTCTTCACCTTGAACACGCCAGGATCCCATATGGGCGCCGGTTCTGATCCCAGCAGCTCCACTTCCCATCCAGCTCCCTGCTTGTGGCCTGGGAAAGCAGTCGAGGACGGCCCAAAGCTTTGGGACCCTGCACCCGCGTGAGAGACTTGGAAGAGGTTCCTGGCTCCTGGCTTCGGACCGTTGCAGCACTGGCCATTGCAGTCACTTGAAGAGTGAATCATCGGACGGAAGATCTTCCTCTCTGTCTCTCTTCCTCTCTGAATATCTGACTTTTCAATAAAAATAAATAAATCTTAAAAAAAAAAAAGAAATTTGTCTTCATTCCGTAGTTCATTAGACTTGGAAAAATTAGTTAATATTGCTAAGTTCCCATTTGTTGCAAAGATGGGAAATATCTGTCATATAACGAAACCAGCATGGGAAATGAAACTTCAATAATCTGATCCATAATTTTTTTTTTGCTGCATCCCATGTGTTTTGATGTTTTTATTTCAGTTTTATGCCAAATAATTTCTTTTCTCTTGTTGAATTCAGCACTGGCTCATGAATTACGCAGTGGCATCCTTTTTTCTCAAGACACATTCGTGTTTCCTTTTTGTCGCTCGTGTGTTGGTTACTCAGTGGCGCCTTTTTTCATGTAATTTGTTGCTGTTGTGGCTGTTCTAACTCATACCAGTTGTTGACCTTGTTTCATGGCTTCTCAATTATGGAAATGTATAATGATGGAGTACTGGGGTCTATCATATCCAGATGTGGGGGTACAATGCAACATGCATCCCTGCTTCCACAGGAAAGATGGATCCCCAATGAAACTGTTGCACATGTGTAGACAATGGGATGCTGGACTGTCTGACATTGTCTGTACCAACAATGTCAGGGTACACTTAAATAAGAGACTGACAGAATTATGACTCTTTATGAAGGACTACACCATTGTAGTAAAATGGGGAAAATCTGTCAGGGGGTGGGAGATTGGGGGAAAATCCCAGTCTATACAAAATTGTACCACATAATTCAAAAAATCAAAATAAAATATATATAAAAATAATAAAACTTTAAAAGTATATATAAACCTGTTATCATAATATGAGGCTTAGTACAGCCTCAACCAAGTCTTTGGTGAAATAACTTTATTGCTTGAATTACCAAAATCAAACAATTTTCAGCCTTGTGATGATAGATGGTGTTTTGTGTGTGTGTGTGTTTTATTTTTGTTTTGCTTTGTTGCTGTTTTTTTTTTCCCCCCTCAATGCTGGAAGGGCTTGACTCCCTTTATATCCCTCCTAAGAGCTAAGGTGAAGCCAGAATGTATTCTCAGCACGCCTCTTAAATGCACCTGCTGTTTTTAATTAACCAACTCAGACACTTACCCTCATGCCCCTCCTTTCCCCCATTCCCCAATCCTTAAATAACTCAAAACTGACGGCCTCGTGATAGCTAACATCTACCAGATCAGGTATATGCCATCCCTTTACCCTTCCCCCCATGAAATTCCTTCTTCCATCATTGTATTTGCTGGCTCATTTCCTTCAAAATGTGTACTATGTAACTGATACTAATGCTGTTGTAGACTGATTGCGGTTTTTAAAAAAAAAAAAATCATCGCCAGAATGCAGTCCAGGGAGACCGGTCCTTCCTCTCTCTCACCACACGGGGGAGCACTATGAAACTTAGACACCACCATTGTGATGTCACTAATGACGCAGTGACTGGGCTGCTACTGAAAGCTAGTTACACTGCCCCAGTTTCATTTTACTCCTCCCTCTACTTCGGCCTGTTGGTAGGGAAGGCTGGGTGACAAGCACCCGGTCAAGCATCTGTGACCACCAGAATGTCACGCTGACACATTGGAGGTGTCAATAGCCTTCCTCTCTTTATCTGATTCCCATCTTGATGGAGAAGTAAGTAGAAGTATGAATTAAGTTCAGAAGACCTGGAAACAGCCGGAAGCCTCCCACCACAGTACTGAAGCTAAGAGTTCCTATTACATCAAGACAATCATCAACCTGCCGGTCTTCTGTGAAAATCGGCCAACCAGTCTTTGACCAATCAGTCCCACAAATCAACCAGTCCTTGGCCAAGCCATCCTCAGTCAACCAGGTCCATCTGCATACGGACCAATAACACTGATTCAGCATGAACAAACAAGGTACAAGCCAGGATGATAAGAATCAATTAAGCCTGAAACAAGGAAACCCAAGACTACCAGAATCAAACCTCCAAGAGACAAGGCAACTAAATACTAGCCTGTGGGTCCAACGCCACATGGGCTACAGAAATACTGAAAGCTGGCCACTAGCTGCATGCCTGCCAACTACAAGCCAGCCACTGAGACAACCAGTTGCAAGAGAAGCAGTCCTGAATGAAGTAAACAAGTGGCAACCAAACACATGCCAAACGATTCCAAGCCAATCAGGCACAAGCCAATCTGAAACAAGCCAATCAAGTACCAGCGAATTAAGCACAAGGCAATCATATTATGCATATTACACATACTATTCATACTATTCATACTACAGTACAAGCTTATCAAGTAGCAGCCGATCAGACACGTTGCAACCAGTAAGGAGCCAATCAGGCTCTAGCCTAACAGTCCTGAGCCCACCAGCTGGCAATCAATTAGATTTATGGAGATCAGGCTCACCACAACCATACTGGGGTCAACCGAGCCCACATCAATCATATTGGGCTCGACCAGGCCCACGTCAACCATACTGGGGCCAACCAGGCCCACCACAACTCTACTGGGGTCAAGCGGGCCCAAATCAACCATTCTGGGGTCAACCAGGCCCAAATCAACCATTCTGGGGTCAACCAGGCCCAAATCAACCATTCTGGGGTCAACCAGGCCCAAATCAACCATTCTGGGGTCAACCAGGCCCAAATCAACCGTCCTGGGGTCAACCAGGCCACAATCAACCATTCTGGAGCCAACCAGGCCCAAGCCAACCAGTCTGGGGTCAGCCAGGCCCAAGCCAACCATTGCGAAGTCAGTTGGTTCCTAGTCAACCCAACCAGAGTCAGCTGGGCCCAAGAGAACCACACTTGAGCCGGGAGCAACTGTTTCAATCTCTCTGGTGCCAAACATGCCTGAGTCAACTACTTCAGATCAAACCAGGCAAGAGCCAATCAACTCCATGTCTAGCAGGTTCAACTCTAGTAGAACAGAGTCAAACAGAAAGGTTCTTCTCAAAGTTGAATCAAGAGAGCATGCGGCCTCTCCAAATACGACCTGCTGAAGCTCGAGATTGCCCCGAGATCATGCGCTTAATTAAAGTAAGTCTATCTCTCCCTATTGCATGAATTTTCATGGTCACTGTAGGGCTGAAAGACATGAAGAGAGGCATAGTCTGATGGCTCTGCTAATTATGACCTGTGTATGAAACCTTTTGGCCGTTACTTAACTTCTCTATTCTTCATTTTGTTTTCATGCATAAAATTGATTGTAGTAATTTCTGTGTATATATGTAAATCAACATCATATTGTGCACTCAAAAATCATAGATAATTAATTCACAGACATTTTTAAATTAAATGTGCTGTTTGTCCTGGAGAAATTTTAACTTTAAAGGAAAATCTTAGAGAAAAGGAACATGTAACTCAAACAAATGATGTGCCAGGGACAGAACTTCAGCTCTTAATGGGTAAGATATTGGGGGTATTACATCTTAGAACCTGATGATTGCCAAGAAATAAAAATATTGGCACATATTTTCATTTAATTTGAGACATTTATCTGAAAAACCGATTCTTGGACAGCCCCAGGAGTCCCAGGAGCTAGGTGAGAAAACTCACTTAAATGTGTACTTTAATGGCTTTCACAGAAATTATCCCAGTGCAGTTAAGGGTCAATTTAACAGTCATAGTTACTCTGAGGAAGTTGTGTGCCACTGAAAGCAACCATTTATACGATGCACAATGTAAAAGATGCTATATAGACCCGCACAAAAGCAACAGTTGTTTTTTACAGAGTAAACATACAGCTGGAGCAAAGCACAGATGTTAGAGATGGGACCCTTGGAAGAGTTTTATAATGGAAATGTTTCCATCCACTTACCAATATAGCTAAATCCTGTCAAAAATCATCTCAAGATTGTGTTGCATTTAATTGAATGTTATTTTATTGGCTAAAATAAACTACACAGGATGTTCTGGTGAAAGTCTGCTCTTGAAATAGGTTGCTTAAGTCATTACAAATCTGTAAGGAATGACTTGTCTTTCTTCCAAGACTTCTGTTTGATTATGTAGTCACAAGCACAAGTCACAAACAGCAATCAAAACACTGTACCCATTGTCAAAATATAATTAAAACAACAAATCAAAGAAAAAAAGAAAAAAACCAAAAACAAAACACTGTACCCAACAGGTTAGTTATTAGAGATCCATTTTTTTCCAGGTATCAAAAGATGATTTAAAGGAGTTTTGTAACTCTGGTATCTGACAGCTGGCAGACAACGGATATGCTACTCATTGAATAACAGTGACTCTTTCTACCTAGAAAACACCTTCCAAATATTGCCTATTGCCGCCATCAAGAGAAAACTAGGAGGAGTTTATAATGCCATGGAAATTCATTTCATGGAAAATGTATTAAAAAGCTATGCATGGACTTTTTGTGAGAGAATAAATGTATCCTTCAATTTCATTTTCCATAAACATTTTAAACCAACCTCCTCAAATGCCCATTTGTTTTAACTCCTGTTAATTCCAAAAGTTGCAAAATAGTCTCTATTTCCAAGAAGTTTATTGGAGTTTGTCATCATGGTAGTGTCTTGGCTGGATATATGGCAGGTTTTGTTGTACTGTCCACCTACCAGGATTCTTCCAAGTATTGCCTGTATGTACCTGTTTTAGCCTACTCTTAACCACATCATAGCATTATCTGATGAGTCATTTCACAGTTGGTCAGCCATAACTTCTTGCTTGCCAGACTTTCTGTTTTATTAAAGATTTAAGTATTTTTATTGGAAAGGCAGATATACAGAGAGGAGGAGAGACAGAGAGAAAGATCCTCTGTCCACAGATTCACCCCCTAAGCCGCCGCAATGGCCAGAATCAAGTCAATCCAAAGCCAGGAGCCCGGAGCCTCTTCTGGGTCTCCCATGTGGGTGCAGGGTCTCAAGGCCCTGGGTATTCCTGGACTGCCTTTCCCAGGCCACAAGCAGGAAGCTGGATGGGACGCAAGGCTGCCAGGATCAGAACTGGTGTCCATTTGGGATCCTGGCATGTGCAAGGCTAGGGCTTTAGCTGCTAGGCTACTTACGAGATTTTCTAAAGTCATTTATTGTGTTGGTTCTCAAAGTGTGATTTTAAACCTATGGTGATCCACAGATGATCAATGAGTAGTATAGTTGTTTTACATTTTAAGTTTCCAGATAACTGGATTAAATCTGACTCACTTTGACCATTGGCCAAGTCATATGTCCATAACTATTCAGTAGAAACTTCATAATGTTTATCATTTTAAGAATCATCACTCCAATGTAATCTGAAAGTTTGCTCTGCTTTGACAGGAATTGGCTACTTGTGACAATAAACGAGGTGTAACGAACTTGACGATAGCAGGTAACTTTTTTGGGTGTTTTTGAGCAAGAAAAGGAAACAGGTGTATGCACACACTTCTGTCTGTACTTACTTAAGCTGAAGCTGCTGAGCTTGGTAAAGATAATATTAACAACAGCTCTGTATACAGGATATCAATTTGATTGTTGTTTAGTGTTCCACTATATTATATTTCCCTATTTTTAGTGTGAAATTGATGTATAACAGCCCTTACACCTTTACAGATACAATAGAATCAACAAGTTTTCAAATTGTAGAACAACTGCTTTTAGTCAAAAAGTATGATTTCTCACACAGTATTTTGGTAGTAGCTTCAAAGGTTGGAATGGGTGCAAGCAAAGTGATTAAAATATTTTCAAAGTATTTATTATATTTTGATAGCCGGTAATATTAACAGCATTCGTTGGAGATCCATGACGTATTATAATTTCTAAGGCAGTGAGTAGGAAGTCTAAGAGAAAAGATGATTAACATGTATGAAATTACAAATGGCAAAGCAACCAGATACAGAGAGATATTTACTAAAACAAAAGACAGTTTGAGTGTTTGGGTTTCTAATTCCAATCTTTGGGAATATAGACAAAAAGTGGAATTGGCTGGATCGCATGATGATTTTTGAGAAACATTCATAGTGGTTTGTATAACAGTTGCGTCATTTTACTTCCCTATGAGTAACACATAGATTCCAGTTTCTCCACATCCTCACCAACATTTTATTGTTTAATTCCCATCCAGGGGCCAGCCTTGATGCTAGCACCCAATATATCTAGTTCCCTCCTAACCTACCTGGGAAAGCAGTGTAAGGTAGTTCAAGTTCTTGAGTACTTGCCACCCTCATAGGGAACCCAGAAAAAACTCTTGGCTCCTGGCTTATGACCTGGCCCATCCTTGGCCGTCAAAGCCATTTTCGGAGTGAACACGTGAATATAAGATCTCTGTTTCTCCTAACTCTGGCTTTCAAATGATTTTTTTTTTTAATTCCTTTCCCTATGAGTATGCACTGGCATCTAATTTTGACTTCAGTTTCCATTGTCCTAAATGATTAGTGATGTTGAATACTGTTTCCTGAGTTCACTTACCATTTGTCTATCTTCTTTGAGAAATACCTACTTATGCCCTTTGTTTAGGTGTTTGTTGAGTTACAAGAGCTTTTATATATTGTGGATATTAATATTTTTTAGATATGAGTTCTACATACTTACTCCCACTCCTGGAGAGTGTATTTTTAACTTTCTTAGCAGTGTCCTTTTATGCAAAAATGTTTTTACCTTTGATGAAGTTCAATTTATCTATTTTTTTGTTGCTTGTGTTTTTGGTATAATTGGTAATAAATCTGCCAAAATCAATGTCTTGAAGACTCTCCATATTTTCTTCCTAGTATTATAGAGCTTTAGTGCTTACACCGAGATTTTTGATCCATTTTAAGCTAAATTTTGTACATGGTATGAAATAAGGGTCCAACTTCATTATTTTGCATGTAGATGCCCATTTACTGCAGCATTAATTGCTTAAAAGACAGTTCCCCCTGCTCCCCAAGAATGGTGATGGGACCCTTATCAAAAGTCAACTAATCAAATTTGTGAGTATTTATTTTTGGATCGTCTGTCTCATCTCGTTGGTCCATTATGTCTATTTTTTTTTGCCAGTACCACGTGGTTTAACTCTTGAAGCTTTATTGTAGTATCAAAGTCAAGAAGTTGGAGTCATCCAACTGTGTTCTTCATTTCCACAATATTTTTTTTCTTGGCTATTTGGGGTCCCATTGAATTCCACTATAATTTCTGTGAGATCAGTGCTGGAATTTGGATAAGGATTATATTGAATTCAAGATCACTCATGGATTAGTCTGAGTTGAAAATTTAATGTGTTCTCAAACCATTCCCAAGCCTATTTTTTTTTTCTGATTACTAGTGGTGGCTTTGTAAATCCCTCTATTTTTAAAAAATATGTAACAGGTTCAAATCCTTTACATTTCTTAGGAGTTACTTACCTGGTTGGATTTAGGACAATGGCAGCCAGCTAACTGGTAAGCCTTTATCTCAGTGATAACAAACAGCAACTCATGGCTTTTGCATTTTCAGGATTAGACCCTTATTGTCCACCCAGGCTGCAGAAATATGGATTCCTACCCCCATTGCTCTCTGGCATGGAGAACTGTAGAGGTAAAGAATGGGCAGCCACCACTACGCTGAGAGCTAAATTTTACCTACGTTACCTACCCATCAAGCTGTCTCCTGAAAATTCCAAGTGTTCAAATAAATTCTGGAGTTTCAAAATAGTCACTTCAGACAATTTCTGCCAATACAGATGGAGAGGTGACTTCCGGTTACTTTCCGTTCCCACACCTTCCCTCTCCTGCAAACTTTCTGACTACTGTATGTGATTTATTTCAGATTTGCTCAGAGATGGCTTTGGGGATAATCCCCTTTTCTACTGCCTGATTGCTGAAGTTTATAATTCACGTAAGCCATCAGGTAAAGTAAATCTTGCTTCTCCCATTACATCTGGAATGTACTTTCCAAGTCCTAAAAACAAAATACTGTTATATAGCATGTAATCAAGAGTTTTTAAAGATGTGTTTATTTATTCAAAAGGCAAAGTAATAGAGGGAAAGAAGAAGAGAGAAGAGTGTTCTTCTGCTTCACTCTCCAAATGGTTGCAGTGCCAGGACTGGACCAAGCCCAGGCCAAGAGCCTGGAATTCCACAGCGGTCTCCCACATAGTTATAGGGGCTCTAGGGCTTGGGCCATCTTCGGTTGCTTTCTCAGGCCTGTCAGCAAGGAGCTGGATTGGAAGAGCAGACCCTTGTTCATAGGGGATGCTGGTGTCACAGGGAGTGGTTTATCCAGCTATGCTGCAATTCCTGCGCTATTCGTATCCTTGCTTTAAGCAGAGAAACCACAAATAAATGGTTTTTACTTTGCTTAAAACAGGAAATATGTAGTATGTATAATGTTTGCACATGAATTAACATAACTGTCCTTAAAGTTTTAGTTATTTATTTGAAGGGTAGAGATAAAGAGAGACAGAGGGATAGATCTTTCTTCTGCTGCTTCACTCCTCAAATGACCTAAGTGGTTGGGGCTAGGCCAAGCTGAATCCAGGAGCCAGGAGCTTCCTCTGTCTCTCGTGTGGGTACAGGAACCCAAGAACCAGGGTCATTTTCCACTGATTTCTCAGGCACATTAGAAGGCAACTGGACCAGGCATAGAGCAACCAGAACACTGTGCCTATTATAGCATGTTGGCATTGCAGGCGGAGACTTCACCTGCCCTGCCACATCATGGAGCCCAAGTTAGCATACATTTTGGAAGTACACCTCCCTGTGGGTCTGTTGTTGTAGTGCAGCAGGTAAGCACCTGTTTGAGTGTCTGCTGAAGCATCTGGGGCAGCAATGGACATGGCCCAGCAGCTTGGGTATGAGAGACCTGGATAGAGTTCCAGGCTCCTTGCTTCAGCTTGGCCCTGCTTTGTCTATTGTGCCCATTTGAAGAGGGCACCAGTGGATGGAAGATCTCTCTCTCTCTCTGTAACTCCCTTTCAAATAAATAGACTTTTAACTTTCTGTATTATGCATTTCTGCATTGTTTGACATTTTGCAGAATGAGCACTTATCCCTTTAATATCTAAACTAATAAACACCAAAGATGCCCCATTTGGGGGGAAAGAATGTTTTGATATTCATAAAGTATTAACCTCTTTGTATGTCCCCTCATCCTAGGAAGAACAGCCGTTGGATTTGCCATCTATTACTTCAAGTACACTCTCTGGACTGGCAAGTTACTCTACCTAGAAGATTTTTATGTCATAAAAGCTTACCAAGGTAAAATTTCAAATACCAGTTAGAAACTTAACAACTAAAAAAGACATTTCAATTTCAGGAGTAAAGACAGAGTATAAATATGGTGTTTGCGTTAATTTATATAACTCATTGCTATTTCATGAACCTGGTTACTGTCCTAGTTGTTATTGCATGCAGCTATGTCTTAAGGACAGACTAGGAAAAAAAAATAAACATTTCATTAAATCTTATCCAGGCTTGAATAAACTAACTTATCATAATTGTACTATTATCTTTAAAAAATGTTATAGCCTTCTAGGTTGGCTTGAGTAGAAATACATAAGAAGGGCCCAGCACAGTGGCCTAGCGGCTAAAGTTCTCACTTTGAATGCCCCAGGATCCCATATAGGCGCCAGTTCTAATCCCGGCAGCTCCACTTCCCATCCAGCTCCCTGCTTGTGGCCTGGGAAAGCAGTCGAGGACAGCCCAAAGCCTTGGGATCCTGCACCCGTGGGATACCCGGAAGAAGTTCCTGGCTCCTGGCTTCAGATTGGCATAGCATCGGCCATTGCACTCACTTGGGGAGTGAATCATTGGATGGAAGATCTTCCTCTCTGTCTCCTCCTCTCTGTATATCTGACTTTCCAATAAATAAAATAAATCTTTTTTTTAAAAAAGAAATAGATAAGAAATGTACCCTGTTGTGAGACAATAGTGAGAGATTCATTCATTCTTCACTGATCTATAAAGTAATCAATTATTTTCCGCTACCTTTAATATCACGTTCCAATTAAGAAAGAATGAAAAGCACTCCCGACTTGCATTTCAACAAAAGATATTATGAATGTATAATAGGGGACAATGCTGTGGTGTAAAGCCTCTGCCTGCAACACTGCCATCCCCTGTGGGCAATGGCTCATGTCCCACTGCTCCACTTCTGATCTGGGAAGGCAGTAGAAGATAACAAAAATCCTTGGGCTCCCGCACCCATGTGGGAGACCTGGATGATGCTCTAGGCTTCAGCCTGGCTCAGTCATGGCCACTGTGGCCATTCAGGGAGGGAACCAGTATTTCTGCTTGTTTTTCAATTTAACTCCCACAATAAAAAAAGGAGAATGTGATATTTGACCTTTTTCTTTTTTTAAAAAGATTTATTTACTTTTACTGCAAAGTCAGATATATGGAGAGGAGCAGAGGCAGAGAGAAATATCTTGCATCCAATGATTCACTCCCCAAGTGACTATAATGGCAGATGCCATGCTGATCCGAAGTCAGGAGCCAGGAACTTCCTCCAGGTCTCCCACGCAGGTGCAGGGTCCCAAGGCTTTGGGCCGTCCTCCACTGCTTTCCCAGGCCACAAGCAGGGAGCTGGATGGGAAGTGGGGCTGCCAGGATTAGAACCGGTGCCCATATGGGATCCTGGCGTGTTTAAGGCGAAAACTTTAGCTGCTAGGCCACGACGCTGGGCCTGCTAGGCCACGGTGCCAGGCCTAATATTTGACTTTCTGTGTCTGGCTTATTTCATTCAGTTATGTTCTTCAGCTGTGCCCATTTTGCTGCAGATGACAAAATTTCATCCCTCTTTATAGCTGAGTAACATTCCATTGTGCATACATACCAGTTTTTTATCCATTCATCTGTGCATATCAGAACTGCTGCAAATACAGTGAAACTTTGTTTTATACTTTTGTCAAACCAGTGGTTAAGAATGCTATATACTGTCATCTTAATGATCTGATTATTTAAAAAATTTACTGTCTGTATTTGAGTGAAGCTGCCATTTTTCCATTCAATTATGGCTCCTAGCTATTGTCTGTATTCCCACCAAACTAGGATCTTTTTTTTTATTTTTACTTGCTAACTTATCTGGTGAAGCATGAAGCCTTTAAACTGTAATGTAAATTTAGAATGTTATCTGAAAAGAAAACGGAGGAGGCAATCTGAGTGGGAAGCAGAGAGGGGAAGGGAGGGAGGAAGGAAATACCATAGTGTTAGAATTGTTTCTTCAAATCATACTGGAATCTATTCAAAACTAAAAATTAAAAAAAAAAAAACGACATCCCTGCCTCTTTCAAGTAAACAAGTATTTTACAAAAATATATAATACCCAGGTACAAGATTTATACATATGTATATGTACACACACCTATGTATACATACATATATTTAGATTAAAGCAAATATCTTGCTCGATGGAATTTTTCAACTTAGTTTTCAGTTTTCATTATCTGTTTCACAGGTCTAGGTATTGGAGATGAAATGCTCAAACGGTTAAGTCAGGTATGTATCACAATTTGTACTGACATTACATATATTTTTGTTTTCTTCAGCAAATGTTATTCAGCAGGGTACGAAGCAGGTAATTAATCTCATCATTTGAACATAATCTCAAAATGTACTCCAAAATTTTGTACGAGTGAAAGTGGCATTTCAAACGAGATGTCCTCATAGGCTACGTTATTAATTAAAAATTGATCCATCCTATATACTTTTTCTTTGTTACTACAAAGCAGAAGTTAATAAAAGGGAAATTATAAGGCTATCTTATCCATAAAATAGGTCCATAGCATATGAGAATAATATAAAATATTTTACAAAAATATGTAATACCTTTTGTTTTTTTGAAAATATGTATGAGAACATTGTTCTTTTTGAGGATATTTTTCTTTGAAGATTTTACAAATCAGATTTGGGGTTTTAAGGAGACAGGTTTTAAAGTTCCTAGTGGTAGGATTTTTTTTTTTAATAGCTATACATTAATCCAAAAGACAACTACTCTATCACTGTTTAATCATAGTATTATGCACATGGATCTTGCTTCGAGTAGATCTTCACAAAATGTCCTGAAGCTCCACTTCCTTCATTTTTTTTAAACAGATAGCCCTCAGAACCCAGTGTAAAGGCATGCATTTTCTTGTTGTCATCTGGAACCGGGCTTCTGCAGAGTACTACTGTCGTCGAGGAGCTTCCGACATTTCCTCCGAGGAGGGCCGTCATTTGTTCAAGTTTACCTATGCACAACTCACGGAAATTGCAAAGTAGTGATGGAAAAGGCCTTGTAATAAGTAGGTCCACTCTGGGCTCCAACGTCTGAATGTCATCTTAGTCCAATGGCAGTTTGACTTTGAGTACTGTACAATAAAGCAAGTGATCATAACACTTTTTGAGATCTTTTACTATGAAATATATTTTCTAGATGCCATCAACCATATAATAATCCAAACTACCAGTGGATAGCAGCAGCACTATAAGGAAGAAGTTAATTCCAAAGGCATTTATATGTGGCTTTGGACTATGTTCTTTTCACCTACCATATTGCAAATTTGATTTTTTTTTCACATTTTAACAGATGTAAAGTTGGGAGAAGTGTAAGCATCAATCAGTAGCACTATTTTTTCCTTAAAATATTGTATTATATTTGGTAAAAAAAAAATAGTGGTGGGAGTATAAACAGATGTGAGGCTTCAAAAATATGTATTTCTGGGGCTGGCATTGGGATTCACTGGGTTAAGTTGCCACCTGTGACACTGCAACCCATATGAGAATTGGTTCAAGGTCTGGTTGGTCTGCTTCTAATCCAACTCTGATAATGTGCCGGGGAAAGCAGAAAATGATGGTCTGGGCACATGGGATCCTGCCAGACATTGGAAGACCCAGACGGGGTTCTGGTATTCTGGATTTGGCCATGGTCCAGTCCTGGCCACTGAAATCATTTCAGAAGTGAAGCAGAGGATGGAAGATTTCTCTAGCTCTGCCTCTTAAATAACATTTTTTAAAAATATATTATTTTAATTTTTATTGGAAAGCTCTAAAGAGAGAAGGAGAGACAGAGAGAAGGATTTTTCATCCACTGTTTTACTCCCCAAGTGGTCATAGTGGAAAGAGCTGCCCTAATCTGAAGCCAGGAGCCAGGAGCCTCCTCCAGGTCTCCCACATGGGTGCAGAGTCCTAAAGCTCTGGCCCGTCCTCCACTGCTTTCCCAGGCCACAAGCAGGGAGCTGGATGGGAAACGGGACCGCCAGGCCACGAACTGGCACACATACAGGATTCTGATGCATGCAGAGTGAGGACTTTAGTCACTAGGCTAACATGCTGGGACCCCAAATAAATATTTTAAAAAATATAAAAGTCCATTTCAAATACTGGAAGTAAACTCTAAAGAGCTTACCTGTGAATGACTGGCACATCCGGTGCCCCATGCCTTGAGTAGCTTGTCACTGCCTCCTTGACATCTTCCCGGAACTACATTCCATCTCTGAACATCTATAGCTCTTTGACCGTGCTCAGCTTAGGGATGAGACTACACATTACATTGTATTTATGTATGTTTCCCTCCTCCCTGTCAGTCTAAAGCCTTTACTGAATTATTTTATATTCTTTATTGCAACAAGCATGGCAGTTTCTAATATGTACCAGGAAACTATGGGTATAAACATCACACTAAAACTCTTAGCTGTGCCCATAGAAGACTTACGTTGAGAAGACAGACAATATAATCAATTGTGTGGAGTGTCAGATCTAGAAACTGCAAGTGCAAAGGAGTGCAGTGGTGAGGACATCTAAATTACACCTGGGAGACTGAGAGGGGTGACACTGGAATTGGATTTGAAAAATGAGTAGGAATGGTTAGAATGTGGAGCAAAGTAAGACACAAGAGAATTCTAAGAAGAAAAACTAGCACAGGTAAAGGAAAATAAGTACAAAGAGTACAGGAAACAAGACCATTATAGAGCCGGTTTAAGATAACGTTACACTGGCAGCAGGGTGGCTCTGGGAAGAAGGAAGACAAATTACAAGGTAAGCTGGGGATAAGATGTACATCATCCTAAGGAGCTTTGATTTGATTCTATAGGCAGCTACAAGCCACAGATTTCAAAAAGCCAACCAATCATAATAGCTGTCACAAAGACTACTACTCCATAATAATACAGATGCTGGGTTAGAAGAATTGGGTCACAGACACCAGGTGTGACCTCAAACTCAACACTTGTTCTCTGTCGCTTATCACTCGTCTTTCTCAATACAGGGAACAAACAAACAAAAAATATAATTTCCCCATCTTCGCTAAAGGTGTGGCTATAAGACAAGTTTGAGTTGACATGCATACAGAAACCTTTTGAGAACATGCTAAGCAAGCACTGTGCTTTTATGATAAAAGGCAACTGGAAGCAACTTGTGCACATTCTACCCTGCTCCTTCCTATTTTCAGCATTTCCCAGAAGCATAGTAGCTATCTCGTGAGCACAAGCGGCAAACCAACATGCTACAGAGAGCAGTGGACAGCAAAAAAGTCCAGGTCCTTGATGGCACCAATGAGCCATTCTATCATTCCTGTGCTGCCTAATTCCAGGTTTTAAATGGATCCTTATGTTTAAATGCTATTACCAGGTTTACTGTTATTTATAAAAAGAACACATTCTGAACCGGGAGACAGCAAGAGTAATAGTGCGCAGTGGTCAGGAGGCCACTGTGGAATTCAGGAAAGTGTGATGCTGAAGGCACGAGAGCAGCGACAGGGTTAAAGAGGTAGAAATCGTTTGACAAATAAGAAGAGGCAGACAGAGAGAACTTCAGGTTTCCATTTACTGGCCCGGGGATGTATAAGACACATTTGATGGACATAATAAGTAATTAGAAGCATGAAGGCACTAAATATGAATCAGGACATAAATGGTAGCTGTAGCAAGCGAAATCTGTTGAACAAGAGAATGTTGGGAATGAGAAAACGGAGAGGCATACCAACAGATGAGGAGCCTTACATCTTAGGAGATCCAAAACACCAGGAGAATGAAGAATAACAGGAAAAGCAGGAACAACAGAAAGCAAAGGGAGGAGACAGTTTCAGGGAGGGAGTGGTGAAGACTCAGTAATTGCCTGAAACTTAAGGCAGGTTACAGAGGGCTGAATGTTGCCGGTGAGGAATGAAAAGTGTGTAAGGAAGAATAAGACATTAACCGCTTTTTAGAGAAGAAAGCCAATCAGGAAACAACTAAAGGAGAGAGACAGAGTGGGAGAAAAAAGGCTTTAGTGTCTGCTGCCTCTGTTACTGGGAGTCTGAAGCAGTTCAGAGTTTAAGACAGGAGGGAGAAGAGAATCCAAAGACTGAAAGTTAAACAAGGTATAATAGGGGTTCTAGCTAAGGTGGAAAGGGGTGAGACCAAGCACACAAAGAAAAGAAGGATGCGCGGTTGAAAACGGGTTAAGCCTTGAAGAAGTTGAGAATGGCCATGTCTATCCTTTATTTTGTTTTCCTGTACCAAACAGAAGACCTAGTCAGGTTTGGCGAGTTTAAGAGGCTTGAGAGGACTAGCAAGTTTGCATTAGCTTCTGGGGAACAGAACAGTAAATCATCAAGCAGCCAGCAGAAGGACTGCTAAATAGCACTGGGGACCTGGGAAACATACAGTCCTCCAAGACAGATGGCAATGTTTTCCGACAATTAACAGCAGTTAACATTAATAAAGTAGACAAAGCCAAAGCCCATGTGCCACAAAATATTGTTATTTTATTCCAGTGCTGGGAAATAAAAAACAGTACAGGTGAGAATACATCTCTCTACAAAGCGCTCTAATTTAACAGACACTAACTTGGACAAGCTAGAGCAGATACATACGTATAGAAATGCACGCACGGCTTTTCAGATTTTAGTTTCACTAGTGGTCATCTCTGCATTTGGTTTTGCTTCTTGATAAACAGCTTCCAAAGTTATCGGCTGTAGCCCAGCACTGTGTCTTGCTCATCGATCGACTGCTAGTGGGATTGCATTCATGGTTTGTGTTTTCATCACTGATGTGACTAGCCAAACTGCATTTGAAGATCCGAGTGAATAACTTGATTTGTTTCTCTGGATACGTCAGTTACCCCTGCTGTGATTTTCATCATTCTTTGCACCATCACACTTCTGGTCATTCTCTATGCAGCTTATTTCAGCTTCTAGTGCTGTACAGATCTACATCTTCTGGATGGGACTGCCCGTGATCCATGAGCTTGGGGTCAGGCACAAACTGTGTAGCACCTGATAAAACATATAAAATGGGAAAAAAAAAAGCAGTGATTTAACAAATTTATCTTTGCTACTGGCAACACAGCAGTGAACAAAATAGACAAAAAATTCTGCACTAACATGAATATAACAAACCGAGTGAGAGAGAGACAATGACATAAGTAAAACATACATATTATATTATATAGGGATAAGTACTATGCAGAAAAATAAAGAAGGGAAGACCACATAGGGTTCTTGGATGACTAGCAATTTTAAAGATTTATTTTTATTTTTATTGGAAAGTCAGGTCTACAGAGAGAAAGCTCTTCCATCCGTTGGTTCACTCCCCAAATGGCTGCAACGGTCGGAGCTGAGCCAATCCAAAGCCAGGAGCCAAGAGCTTCTTCTGGGTCTCCCACCTGGGTTCAGGGTTCCAAAGCTTTGGACCATCCTTGACTGCTTTCCCAGGCCACAAACAGGGTGTTGGGTGAGAAGTGCAGCAGACAGGATACCAACCGGCACCCATAAGGGACACCAGCTGTTACTGGGTGAGGATTTAGCTACTTAGGCTATTGCACCAGGCCCATGAATACCAATTTTAAATAGGGTGACCAAGGAAAGTCTTCCAAAAAGGTGCTATATGAGCAAAGTGACTGAGGAGACAGTGTGTACCCTGTAGGTGTCGTGAGAAATGCCTCTCAGCTTGAGTCAATAATGAGTCCAGTGGGCCCAAGGCATGTCTGAGGAGTCGATATAGCTGGAACATAGCATTCAAGATATGAAGCAAGGGCCAGTGTGTGGCACAGAGGGTTACGCCACTATTTGTATGCAGGCATTTCATGCTGACGTGCTGGTCTGGGTCCTGGCTCCTCCACTACCTGTCCAGTTGCCTGCTAATGTACCTGCGAAGGCAGTGGAAGATGGCCCATATACTGGGACCCTTCCACTCACGTGGAAGATTCGAGTGGAGTTCCTGATTGCTGGCTTCAGCCTGGCCCCGATCTGGCTATAGGTTGTCATTTGAGGAATAAAAGGAACAAAAGAGAAGATCAATCTC